CTAGCCAAGACCTACTGACTCAAACTCAGGCTGGACCCAACAGCCTGTGTTGTAACAAGCCCTCTAGGTGATTCTGATGCATGCTGAAGTTTGAGGACCATTGAATAAGACCATAAGAGCAAGAAGTAGCCTGTATATAGATGCCATCAGAAATGACTTCCTAAAGAGAAAGTAAATGGAAGCCTTTAACACGTGAAATGTAGCAAAACTGGCCAAGTGTTGAATCTCCAGACACCCAGGACAATCTTTAAAAATGAATTTCAAAGGTATATTCCGGCCAAAAGAAGTCAGGGGAAAACGGAACAATGGTTCCAAAGATGTAACACTGGTGAAAATGACCCTCAGTTATTCTTAGGGGATTTTCCCCCTTATATCCCCAAAGTTGGATTCCTGAGACTCAAGCCTTACCCTTACCTTACCTTTCCTTGAATTCCAAAATAAAGTGGAGAGTGGAAGCCGGGCACAGTGGCTCATTCCTGTAATCCCAGCACTTTGGGAGGCCAAGGTGGGCAGATCACTTGAGGTCAGAAGTTTGAGACCAGCCTGGCCAACATGGGAAAACCCCATCTCTACTAATAATATAAAAATTAGCTGGGTGTGATGGCACATGCCTGTAGTCGCAGCTACTTGGGAGGCTGAGGCACAAGAATCGCTTGAACCCAGAAGGCAGAGGTTGCAGTGAGCCAAGATCGCACCACTGCACTCCAGCCTGGGCGACAGAATGAAACTGTGTCTCAGAAAAAAAAAAAAAAAAAAGTGGAGGGTTGGGAGAGACACGCAAAGATTTCTTGGGACCTATGACATGAACTGCGGTCTCATGCTTTTTACATGCAGGTCATTGTGGACTGGCAGGTAGAGCCACTCTGAGGAGGCCGAAGGCTGCTTTCTTAGCCCAATGTCCTGTTTGCCATCACAGTGTGCTGTGAAGATGGATTCCCCGCTGCAGTGGGTGTGCCACTGGCTTGGGAACAGCAGCCTTGGGGCCAGGTGCCCTGGAGTGGTGTGTCCCAATTTCTCTACACAGTGGAGTGGCTTTTGCCCTCCGTTTTTCTTTTTGGGTGGCCACTCATCCTACCCAACTAAATAGGTCCCGTGTCAGGTCAATGATCTTCTCCAGATACCAGCCAGATCATCACACATCAGCCATGGGATATTTTTCTCCAAGGCTTTTACTTCTTAAAATATGATTGCTGATTAAGAAGAGAATTTAACAGCAGCTTTAATAGCACCTGGCCTGCGGTAGACGTTTCACTGTGTGTGTTCTGAATGATGACGTAAATGATGACCGAATGATGACATTATACAGTAAAATGTGAAAACAGCTTTGATTCAGTAAATCCTGCCCTACAAAAGACCATTAGAAGAGCCACGAAGCTACCTGTGTCCATGGACCCAAATATTGACCATGGAGCCTCATAAGTACTACTGATAATGATTGCAAACCCAAATCAATGAAGACAAATGCCACAGAGTCACAACAATTCACTGAGGAAATGCTGACCATGGGGTCAAGTGCGGGTCACTGTGAGCCATCGTGACACATACTCGGGCACAGCTATACGTGACGAAGCAAAACAAAGCATTGTCTGGCCACTCTAGCAACTTCTATGATTCAGCAGCTGCAGCAGCAAGAATGGTCTTATTCCACTGTTTTGATAGAACAGTGGATCCCATGTCTGGCAACACTCATGGTAACAGCAGGTTGTCACACAAAGGAAAATAATACATAGACAATTCCTAGCCACCAGATGTTGGTTTTCAGAATACTGCTAGAGTTTTTTTTTAAAAAAATTTGTTTTTTTTTTTTTTTTTTTTTTTTGAGATAAGAGTCTTGCTTTTGTCAGCCAGGCTGGAGTATGCAATGGCACAAGCTTGGCTCACTGCAACCTCCGCCTCCCGGATTCAAGTGATTCTCCCTGCCTCAGACTCCTGAGTAGCTGGGATTTTAGGCACCCACCATCACGCCCGGCTAATTTTTGTATTTTTAGTAGAGACAGGGTTTTGCCATGTTTGCCAAGTTGGCCTCGAACTCCTGACCTCAGGTGATCCACCCCACTCAGCCTCCCAAAGTGCTGGGATTATAGGCGTGAGCCACCACACCCATTTTTCTAAGATTTTACTTACAAATCTGGAAGTGCCTTGTATACCTATATCCCCCTTCCTAGTATCTAATAATCCTCCATATGTTTATACACATCCCCTGTGGCAAGCTACCAAATCTAACTACGTCGCTACTACTTTGTGATTTGCTAGTCAAATTTCATTAGGCTTGAAAGTCTTCAGATCGAAACTAATTTATGGTAATTTTTCAATTAATGGTTCATGAGATTAGACCACAACACTATGAACCTAGAAACTCTGTAATATAACCATTCTTAACAAAAATTATTACTTAAGGGAGTTAGGGTTTTATGACATTTTGATGTTTGTTTCACCATTTTAACTGAACATGTACTATGATCTGGGGACCATTCTAAATATTTTGTGTGAACTGACTCATTTGATCTTCCTAATAATCCTATGAGGTGGGAATATTGCCATCCCTATTTTTAGATGATCAAACTAAAAAGAGAGGTTAAGTGACTTGCTTATGGTCACACAACTAGTTAGTGGTAAAGTCAGGCAGTCTGGCTGTAAAGTTTGTGCTTTCTACACTTATATTGCCTCTCCAACTCTCACTGAACCAACTAATTAAATTTTATTCTATGAACACAGCTTTTTCTAAGACTCTTTAAAAGATACTTGGAAAATATTATATGGACTTGTTTATGATTTTAAACAATTAGGTGAAAAATCTTATGCATTGATCTGGATGAAATCAGATTCTACAAAGACAACATTTAATTTTCAAGTTTGAGAAGTAACAATACTTTAGTGTAATAAACTATTTTTGACAGTCTATAAAATTGTGATATAATCAAGAATTGACAAACCATGGTTCACAGGCCGAATCTGACCCATTGCCTATTTTGTTTTATTGGAACACAGCCATGCTCATTCACTTACATATCACCTATGACTGCTTCCACATTTCAACAGCAAAGGTGAGCAGTTGCAACAGATACTGCAGTTCATGAAGGCCAAAATATTTATTATCTGGCCCTTCACAGAAAAAGTTTGCTAACCCCAAGATACAGATGTTTAGAAGGCATAGGTTGAGAAATACTCCCACGGATTGGCCAGCACCTCATTACAGAAGGGTTAGCAAAATCATGAAAGAATGTAATGAGTTAGTTGAAGCATATGAAAGGCCAAACCCATGAATAACACACCACTCTTTATGCCTGAAGTAGACGGTTACAATAATGGTCCCCAGTGAATCATACCTATGGGTATCTGTGTCCTTACATAATCCCTTTGTATATTCACTCTTGATTTTGGCTGTGTGAGTTACTTGGTCCATCAAACATGAAGCCGGGAGAAGCTTGACAAGTGCTTCCTCATTAGGGCTTGCCTTCCTGGATCTTACCATGGAACGAAGTCTGGAGTCACACTGCAGAAGAGGCCACACGAAGAACTGAGGTGTCCCAGCCAACAGCCCCAGATAACCACCGGATATGTAAGTGGGGCTGTCCTGAACCATCTAGCCTCAGTCAATCCCCCAGATAACTGTAGCAGCATGAGTGACCCTAGGTGAGACCAGGAGGAGAACCAGCAGCTGAGCTCAGTCCAAACTGC